ATTGTTGTTTTGTTTCAGGATCATAACCATAAACCCGTGATTCATCACCTGTAATAACTTTTCTAAGCACATTATCATCATTGTTGACCATTTCCAGACTGTCCAGAGCAATTTCTAAGCGAATGTTCTTCCGCTCTGCTGTGAGTAATTTTGGGATAAATTTTAAACACACACGCGTTTCATTCCTAAATTTTCGGTTAAAATTTCTGAAATGATGATAGTTTTTGGTATCCCAAGTCTTCTTCTAGTTCTCGCACAGTCATACGACGATCTTGTTCGATTGCAAGTCGCACTCGCTCAATATTATCTGCGGTTTTTTTCGTCGAAGGTCGGCCGGAACGAAAATCACTATCAACAGAAGTGCGACCATCCTTGAACCGTTTATACCACTCTTTTATTCGTGTTTTGCTCATACACTCGCTTCAGAAGGCCTTCTGCATCATTTCAATAGTTTCCGAACTCGTTTTTCCGAGTTGAAAGCAAAATTTGATGCAAATTCGTTGATCTTGTTTTTCAGTCATTTTTGATAATATCAAAATCCGACGAACAAAAAAAAGGCACTGTAAACAAAGACACGCTGCGCATGAACTATACATCCGGCAGGTGTCAGTAAATAACCAATAGATTCGTGAGACTTTACTGTTGACGTTCCTGTCCGTTAGAGGTCACTCGAACACTATGGCGCGAAGATATAAACTAGGCCCGATACTTTCCGGACAGACCTCGTATAAGAGGCGCGTTCGCTGAGGCTATTGTAGCCGTCGCTCTCTATAGGTATAGCGCGGACGCGTTTGCAGGTACACGTGCAAGAGAAGGCGGGCGACAACAATACCAGCTCGCCCGAATGCACCTTAAGTCACTCTGTCCACATGTGGGCACTGTCAAAGTTATCGCACTGCACACGGAATCGCAAGGACAATAAATTTACTTGAAAAATCAGTCTAGAGTAAATGAAGTTTGGCAAATTTATCGAAAGAAAAAGAAATAAAAAGAGAACCTGTCGTACCTTTTGGATTGTTGTTTCCTTTGCGATTTGTCGATATGCAGTCCGACGTTTAACAAGAAATGGAATGTGCCTAAAGCACTGCTCACAGCCAGTCACACTTCACAAGCGAGAGGGATTATCGGAAGTTTCAGTTTAAGCTGAACTTTACTGATTTTAAGAGATATCGACACCTTTTTACTTGGACGTTTCGCGCACCTTGTTACCGTTTCACTGCCATTTGCCGAGTGTCGCGAGTCCTCCTGTAATCGAGGTAAAAGCCCGGCGATGACCCGCCCACTGGTGTATTAACTAATGTCACCGGCCAGTGGGCTAATTGCTTAATCAGTTTCACTGCTTATTCTATTTAGCAATTCTCTCGAAAGGGTGAAAAAAGAGAACTGTCTCTCCCACCTTCGCGACGTGCTTTTGTCAAAAACGCATATTAGACGGAAAGCTATACGCGACTTCCGTTCTCCGCAGGAAACGGCATCGGCTTACATGCACATTCCGTCTGGAGGTCGATTCGTACCGAAGCTGCCGAAAGCGAGGAACCGCGCAGTTAGCCGTTTGCGTGAGAAAGACTAAAAGTTACACGCAAACTGCTACTTCGACAACATATCAGCGTCTGATGTCTGGCTTGCTTGGGACGTAACAGACCTGGACTCTACCACTGTGCTATTAACGACTGTTAGGGTTGGGTTAGACTATTTTTGTTCCACATATTGTAATTTAAGAAGCCTATTTTCTTCTATATATTTAGATAATCTTAATTTATTGTATTAAAGTATTGTGGTTTCCATGTGTCTTATTTAAGATATTATTATTTAGTGGAGCCAAGATATTAATAGATAAAAATAAAATATAAGTCTAATAAATACACATATAAATTACTTAAGCTTTCTTGAAAGTACTTTAATAATTGAAAAAGTGCAATCTCTGCAGCATCTATGATATAAAATTAATAGTATGTTACAGAAAACTTGCACAATTATCAAGACTAGTAGAATGTAATACATAACGTCGAAAAGGTCATTTTTGGACACTCTATGCGGAAAGTACTCGTACATATTTCCTACACGTTCGGCCAAAAACATGCATTCATTCAAAAACGAGCTTTCCATACGTCGTATAGAAAAATACGGTACGACACATGATCGAGAAAGAGTTTCTTGTCTCGTGTGCCTTTTTACCTTACCTTCTCTCAGTGATTATTTTCAACTCGGTACACAAACCTACCAACACGACTTTTGTTCTTATTGTTCTTCCTATTCCTTATATTTGTTCCTATTTCTTGGTATCTGTTGAGGGCTCTGGAGGAAGCATGCGCGACCACCCCCAGATCAGTCCCCGGTAAATACTCAAAATTAAAAAAAACTAATTTTTAATATAGTCGAATTTGGCTTAACTATGTTGGGCAAATAATTTGCTTGCATGACATTTTCCAAAAAAAGAAATATGAAAGTTTTTTTTTACGCAAACTTTAAACAATAATTTCTTATCAAAATATCAGTAATTATTTAATTCTAAGATCTTAAAAAATTGCTCACTATCACAAGAAATTTTCCCCGTTATAATTTTTTAAGGGTACATTATTTTTTATAAAGAAATTTGAATAATGAAATTGATATCGTAAGCAATTCAAATAATCGTCGTGCCATGCATCAACTTAAAGAGTTGGTTGCGGATGCTGAATAGTGTATGTAAATTATTTATATTTCTCAATAAAAAATAATGTATCCTCAAAATATATTATAAAGGGTCACATTTCTTATGATAGTAGGCAATCTTTTCAGATCTCAGGATTAAACAAATACCCGATTAGCACAAAACGTTCTAAAAACGTCTTAAAAAAGGTTTTCTGGTAAACTTTTAAACGTTGATGACTTTTAGTGAAAAAAACATTTTTAAAATGTTTTTAAAACGTAATATATGTCCGCGAGTAATACGTTTTGAAAACGCTTCAGAAACGTTTTAAAAATGTTTTTCATAAAAATTTTTACAATAGGCCGGTATCATAATACATTTTGAAAATGATTTAAAAACGTTTTTAAACGTTTTCAAAACGTTTTAAAACAGGTGTCACAACGTTTTATCGAAAATTTTCTATAATAGGCTGTGTAACGGGGAAGGTTATCTGAAAAATGGAAAATTTATTTAAGAATAAACTCACACGATGCAGAGCAAACCGCCACTTCGTTAAACATGTATGATAGTACGTGTATTCGCCTTAACGTCAGATGATTTATCCTAGTTGTCTTCTATCAAACGGAGTTGAACTCACCTTAAGTCATGTGTCTTGTGACACACGATGAGTTTTAAGTGTGAGCGACTTTACTTCTAATCTTCTTAATCCCCTAGATGTAATCGGATTAAAACCTAAGCCTTTTTCAATTACTTAAGCTACTAGGAAAATTAAATGACGAAAACGGCGAATAAATTTAACAGACTTTAATTAATAAAAATCACTACAGTCTTTGTAGGGCCGAAAGACTAACGCACGCGAATAGGATTCTACAATTAACGATGTTCGGTGAGATAAAGAGAGAGAGAGAAGATTTGAATTCTACCGCGAACTAACACTCAACGCGAATACAAAAAATAACGCTAACACGATTAGACAAAATACCGAATGTATGTTGTATTGCATATAATGACGGAAGGTGCACCTACCATGCGGTGCAATTACGGTGATCAGCCGTAATTGTTGATGCAAAATATCAACTGCCGCTGCCCCTCGATTAATCAGCTGCACTACCTCGATCTGCCTTTATCTGCTGCAGTTTGCTGCTTCTGCACCGCTGCTTGCTGCTGCAATACTGTCGTTGCACACACGCACGTAATTGTCCCAAGGAAACTTTATTTTGGCGAAACTAAGTGCGAAACACAAATCGGCGGTAAACTCGCGTGAGCAGCTGAGACGTAACTGCTTATTCAAAAGATCGCGCGCCCCCCCTCTCTCTTAATTATTAGAACTAACACGCGAGAAGCAGAATCGCGAACGGTTCGATTAATTAAATCGACTACCGTTGCAGCTGGTATCAGAATACTTTTTAAAAACGTTTTGAAGACATTTTCAAAATGTTTTTCAGAGAAATATATACAATAGGCTGGTATCAAAATACGTTTGTAAAACGTATTCAAAATGTATTACTCGCGGACATAGATTACGTTTTAAAAACATTTTAATAACATTTTTTTCACTAAAAGTCATTAACGTTTGAAAGTTTTCCAGAAAACGTTTTTGAAACGTTTTTATTGTTATTGGGGTATTGATTTTTCGGCAAGATATTATCGTTTAACGTTTGCATAAAAAAACACTTTGATATTTTTTTATTGGAAGATATAATAGGAGCAAATTATTTGACCAACATAGCTGAACCGAGCAAATTTGACTCTATTGAAATTTTTTTTATTTTGACTATTTTGCGGGACTGATCTGTATTGAAATAAGTATTCGGAGAAGCAGTGTATGTTTTAACATGGTTTTATTCTGAGTATAATCTGTCCTTAATGACGTTTACCCGTAGAATGAAAATTTTAGGTTGTTAAAAATGAAATTACATCGCGAATATCATCGTCAAGATTAATACAATTGTTTCATAAAACATATTAACATATTCGAACCCTACTTCAACAATCTGTGAGTAGGGTTTAGCTGTGTGTTAGCAACTCTAGATCGAAACATTTTTCAGTTATAATTTTACTTAAATATTTGATTTATCCTCGATTTGATCATAAAAGTCCTTAATTCGTTCCACGAACTAATGATTGACCTACAAATTATTTCTTTATAAACACATTTTCTACGATTTTATCGCAACTCTAATCGTAGATTTATTTTATTATTTTCAAAGAATTTTTCAAGCATAAACTAAGAGATAAAGAACAAAAAAGTTATAGCTTTTTTACAAACAATCTGATAGACTAATTGATTTATCAATTATCTTAAAAAAACTAATTCTGGGTACAACCTTTTGAAACCTGCTCAGTCCCGCGCTGGTCTCCTCACGCACTCTCCATGGCCATGCTTTATGGTTAATGGTTAATACCCATTTCTTTGATATCCGATTATCAATAATTCAGATATTTACAACGTATGCCGCAAAAACTAATATATTTTTTAGATGAGCAAACTTTGGGCATAAATCTGGTTTTCCAATTTACACATAACTGTTATAAAGTCGTCCGAAAGAAAATGTAGGAAGCATATTTACAACTATTTCTTTCAATAATTTAAAATTATTTGGAAGAGTAATTCTTTGAATGAATATAATGCATCTCATATGTATTACAGAAGGTTGGTTGTATAGCATACAGAAACTGTTGATTAAAATTAGATCAAATTTTCCATATACCTGATCTTAGTTAAATTGATTTCTTAGATACATTATATTTTGTAATGAATTTTTTTAATTCATTCATTTTTTAAAATTGTTTTATCTATGCATAGAAATGTTTATCCACTTATCTTCTTTACTACTTTTAGAGAAATTTGAAAACGGTAATGATTTATTTTTATGATTTAACATTTAATTTTTCATGAAATTTAACCCTATATACAGTATCTCAAATCTAATAGAAAAGCTTTTCAAAATAATTTATTACAAATTTTCGTTTTAAAATAATTAATAATTAATATGACAGAATTATAAATTTATAAGAAAATTTATATTGATTTAACTAGCTTATTTTCAAAGATGTACCCTATAAATTATAAAATTCCAAAAAACAAGAATTTTTATATAGGTTTGATGAATTGATCAATTTGCAAATAATATAATTATATTCTGATGAAAATGTTAATTATAATTATATTTATCCTTTAAATGACACATATGTTAAATTTACCCCAGACTATTATTGAATATAGGTTCTATGAGCCACTAATCAGGTATTTAACAATAGACTATATAAATAAATTATGAAATTATGCACAATAAGTCACACAATTTATTAGTATTTTTAATTAGAAATCATTTGGATAAATTAGATAGATTTTCCACCTTCATTAAAAAAGTAGATATTAATTATAACAAAATTGTTTTAATATATGAAAAAATTATTTTTAGATATTTCAATCAAAAATTTTGAATCAATAGTCAGATCTGATTTAATTACTATTTTTAACTACTTTATATTAATTGCTTTTAATTTAGAAGATTGTTGTTTTAGTAAAAGTTTTTGGAAATATTAAATAAAATTGTCATTATCTATAAAAGGTAAATACCATTCTTTGTATTTAACTATATAATATTATAATTACATATTTCGTTTTTAATGTAAAATATGAAATAAAATTAAATCTCATATGAAATTGTAACTTCAATTTCAATACTAGAGGAATAAAGTAAATAGTAAATAGAAAATTCTTTCTGTGATTTAATTGTAATCATTGAATGAAGATTGTTAATGATAGTATTATTATTTGTTTTGTTATGTTGCTTGTAATAGTATGTATTTTCAGTTGTTATCAAAAATCTTTTTAAATGTAACAAATTAAGTAAATTGAACAAGCTCTCATGCAGGCTTTCAGAACATATAGTAATAATAGGATGTTTCTTTCGTATTTTGAATTGTATATGGTATTCCTATAAAAAATATTTTTGACAAAATAAAAAGTTGCTTAAAGGTTTCATTAACAGTTTGACTTCTTTTTTATCTGCTTTATACTGTGCTAAAAGAATCTAAAAAAGTGTTTAATAAATTTCACATTTTGAATTTTCCTACCTATCGATTTTATCATTTGCTCAAAATTATTTGTGAATTTTTGAAAGCAATGAAATCTATTTAAAAATAACATAAATGCTGAAAATTATTTACAGATTTCTGAAACAAATTAAATAAATATGTATTAAATGATAGATTAAGAAAAACAGATCAACAAAAAATTAAAAAACTTTGTGTATGAAATTCTACACTTTAACTATTATTCAGACATATTCAATACCTAGTATTTATTTTATTCATTGAGATGTGAGTCAAAAGTTATTAATGAATTTTTGAACGTAATGAAAAGATATATTATATTATTGCAAGGCCTGTCATCATTGAGTGAACAATATTGCTTTGAAATATGAAAATTCATTTGATTTTAAAAAAATTATTATTTACTGATAATTCCTATGTATGTTTAAGTTCAATTTATGTCTGATATAATAGTAGGAGTGTGATAGGATTTTTATTATTATTTTATAAAAATATTAAGAGAAAAAAGAAAATAAAATTATGATTTTATTACATCTTCTCACATCTCAGTTCATATAAAAGCAAAGAAATAAAACTTATGATTTTTAATGGCACTTATAAGTTATTAGTGATATTCTTTCATGCAGCTTAATTTACTGGTTCATTGATATTTATACTACTTTTACTACATTCTATTAAAGAAGATTTTTTAAACTTCAATCATTCAGTTGTTATTTTTTTAATTATAGCTTTATCAACTCTTATTACATAAGTTATTTAGCTTGTATTACATACATTACTTAAATAAAATAATTACAAAATATTTAGAGAGGAACATATCTATCTAGTAGTTATGTACACTATATACATATTTGTTCACATGTGTAATATCATTTAAAAATTTATAAACTGTACAGCAGTACATTTTAATATACATTCTATACTATTTCCGCACGTTACAGTTACAGAAATTAAGCACAATGCGCATAATATTGAAATTTGGTTGTCCTAGAAAGCATTTGATATCTATGGGGAGGTATAGTTTTATTTTTGATAGTGCTTTAACTAAACTTGTTCTCTGTTGATCATACCTTGGGAATTGCCATATAATGTGATTCAGATTCTAGATAGCGCATCCGCATTCGCATTTGGTGTCTGGTACAGCTTTGATTTTAGCGAGAAAATCTCTCAGACTATTATGATTACTGCGGCACCTACATATCGTTACGATTTATTCCCTCAGTAAAATTTGTCTAACCCTACGTATGATCAGATCATATGTAAAAAACCAAACTTTTATAAAAATTTATAATAAACAATGGTGATTGTTTTGGTAACATGAACACTGTTATTTATTATAAAATTTTATAAAAGTATTGATCGTTACATATGATCTGACCATACGTCAGATCATATGTGAGGATACTTTCATGTATCAGATCTTTCATGAGAATAGAATACTAGTCATTTTTATATATTTTCGACACTCCGTGCGCAAAGTGCGTCTTTCCCGCACGCTCGGCAGAAAACGTGCGTTGAAAATCGCACTTTCCACACGTCGTATCAAAAAATACGGTACGGCACATGTTCGGGAAAGAGTTTCTCGTCTCGTGTCCCCTTCCACCCTCGCTTCGCTCGGGTGTAAACGCCACACGAGACCAGAATCTACTTTCCCGCACTTGTATCGTAATGTACTATTTCGACACTCCGTGCGGAAAGTGCGTTTTTCTCACACGCTCAGTGAAAAACGCGTATTGAAAATCGCACTTTCTACACGTCGTATAAAAAAATACGGTACGGCACATGTTCGGGAAAGAGTTTCTCGTCTCGTGTACCTTTCCACCTTCGCTTCGCTCGGACGTAAACGCCACACGAGACATCTATTTTCCCGCACTTGTATCGAAATGTACTATTCTTACGTTGAATCTTGCATGAGAAAAGGTTCAAGCATAAGAAGTAGGGGTCGGAAACCTACGGAATCTAGCGATGTTTCTTATATTTGAACTGATGTAAGTATTTTTAGTAGGGAAACGCTACATGCTTGAAAATCTAGAAAGAAAGCTTGTACATAGACCTATTGGTTGATGTTACCGGCTTATTCTCTTTGTTTACATTTTGTGCATGCCAAGTAGTATAGTAGTGCTGATACCTATAGAGTCGGCTGTGATTATTATTAAATTTATTTATTTAACTAAACTTAGTTAGATTTTCATTGTGCTTTTGTTTGTGCAAATATGAAAAAATAATACGTTACATACTCAAAAGACCATGTGTATACCTACGAAGAAAATAGAAAAAAATACTATTTATTATTCCAAAAAAAAAAAAAAAATATGTTAACAATAGGACCAAAGCTGATTGGTATAGTTAATACAACATAAAAACACATGTCTTTAGAGTTCAAAAAAGTTAGTGAGAAGTAGGCTCAAGATTGTAATGTTACAAGAGAAATAACTTATGGCGAACCTGCTTTGGCAGGAAATTCTTGTAAGATTTTGTTAAACAATACAAATGTTCTTTGTAGAAATTATAATATTAATTGTTTGAAATACGTTGAATGTTTTGTTGATTTGCGATCAGTCGTTGATTCGTGTTTTTCTAAAAAGTTAGATCCAAATTTATATAATAAAAGAATTTCTTCAAAGTTATTTAGATTTAAATATTAATGTTACTTCTAAAACTCTTGCAGTATTTTATCACATAATATATTTCTGTTTATTTCATTTGTATAAGAGATCTGAAAATAATTTTCAGCATGCTTGCTATTTTTAAATTGATTTCATGACTTTCAAAATTTGGCAAATCATTTTGAGCTAATAATTAAATCGATACAGAATGAATTTCAAAATGGAAAATTTATTACATTTTTTATTGATCTTGACAAAATAAACCAATTAATGCAACTTCTTACTTTGCCAAAAGTGTTTTTTATGTGTATTTCACTTATTTCAGTCAGCTATAATTATTTATTTCGTGAGTACAGTAATATAAAAATTTATTAATACTAATCTATCAGTCATTAGGTTCGCATTAAAAAAATAGAAAATAGTTTTTAAATCATCATATAACAGCTTTCTACATATCTCATTTAAAATACTTTTAAATAACTACTAATTTTTTCTACTTATAAAGTTTATGTGGTACAAAATATAAAATTCTTCTCATATTTTGTTCTTGTCATTTCAAAAAATACTTATCATAATATTTTGTATTGAAAGAGATTTTATATCTTATCATAACAAGGATCTGATATGACAGTATATCTTTAACATGATACTTTGTATTGAAAGAAATTTCTTAACTTACCATGATAAGAATTTAATGTATCAATAAATTTCTCTCGATCTAAAATATCACGATAAAAATTTTGTGTAATAAAGAACTATTAAATTTAGAATCTTATAGTAACTGCAAATGTAGTCAGTACAGTGATTCATTTATATCATATCGATTAATCTTTGTTATGATGCTTTATATCTTTTTTAGCTTTCACTTTTTTGACACATAACTTAAACTATTTCTTGGCTCATCTCAATTAAATAAAATCATCTATAATATTATTCGATTCAATATTATTAATTACAATTTCATTATTTAAAAATGTTTTTTATA